TTCTCTCTCTCCCCCTCTGCTCCTCTCTTTCCTTCTCTTTCATGCCACCCCTCGTAGCCTCCTATTGTTGTTGCCGAGAGCTGGCAGGCCAGGGTGGTTGTGGCAGGGGAAGCATGTGGAGGAGAAGCTGGAGCCCGTTGCTAGGTAAGGACCGCCTTCCTGCTCTCCCAGGCCTGTATGCACTTGCAAGCCCCAGAAATCCCGTGGAGCTCACTCGGTCTCTTATGTCTGTGCTTTTCCAGGAGGCTGCAGCGCTGCAAGGTGAACACCTTGGCGTTCTCACTCTGTGGCTGGTCCCAGAGGCTTGTTTCCCAGGGTAAGACTCTCCCCCATCCCTCCGATGTTTCTCATTGACATGCGGTAACATTGCGCCTTGCTTTGCCACGACAATAGAGTAAGTGACTGGAGCAATCACCAAGTAGGGGAATGATGAAGTTGCAGAAACTTAAAAGTGCTTATTTGCGACAGCGGATTTGTTCCTTTTGAACCTGGGAGATGCATCTATCTTGTCCGGATTTAGACTCCTTTTAACGGCGTTTGCTGGCAGGTTATTAGGGAGGTGGGATCGTTATTAATTTTTCGGTTCATTCCTGTGCCCTCAGCTCTACCCTTCCCTTTGCCAGGCTGGCTAAAGCCAGCAAGCTTCATTTTCTTAGCGGACAAAGGTCGATCACAGCTTTTATTTCTGAATGCAAATGTTCTAGGACATGTGCCAATCTTGCCTTCATTGATTACAGTGTAGCTTCTTTTTAAAATTGTACTCTTCCCCCCCCCCAAAAAAAACCCCCCAAAAAACCAACTTCTTTGCCTTTTTCAGGGTTGGGGGTAGGGGGGGATTTTTTTTTTTTTTTTTAACTAGGAAGCTCAAACCTTGAAAAAGAAACAAAGCAAGTGTTGTCATATACATTTTGAGTTTTTTTTTCTTTTTTGGGGGGAGGGGGGTATTCATAAACAGTCATGTTCAGAGCAATTATAAAATAGCAAATCTTTGGTACAGGAGCCTCTATGCCTTCTGTGTATGTGCATGCACATGCCTGCATAAATGAATGTATATAGTTTTGAATGTTAGTGCTGATTGTTGGTAATTGCATCCCACTTCAGTTGCTTTTTCCTATTTTTATTAGTAATGTGCATCTTGGCACAACTATTTCCATTTTTCATATTTAATAGTTTTGAATGCCCAGTATTGCCCTTGTTTAGTTTAGAATTAATGTTTTTGTAGATACCTTAAAGATTACTTTTGTAATCTCTTAAAGGACCAGCAGTATATTTTCCTCTCTTGATCTCTCCTACGTGAATACATAAGCACACTCGCTCACTAATTCTCTCTTCTTAAGTTATTAATGAAATATAGTATTTATGTATGTATTTTACTTCTGTAGGGTGGTGCCATTTATAGATTAAAAGAGCATGTGGAGAACGATGTTCTGACTGAATCTTTATTTGACAAGTCTTCTGCACACTTAAGTAGAGTATAGAACTAAGAAAAAGCTGAACCTATAATATTTAGTTTGTGTTGTTCGTGTAACCAAGAACATTTGCAAATATATGAGACTGTATCATTGTTCTGCTGGAAAGAAATGTACTTTACAGGCATATAGTGGCAATCTTATTCCTTCTGTATGTACTAGTAGCACAAATTGGTTTCCTTTCTTTACATTGCAAAATGTGAAGGCTTAGTAACATTTTATTCATGTTCTTCCTTTTTATTTTATTTGTTTCTATGAATTTACCAAAGAAACAATAAACCTAAACTGCACCCTTTCTCAAAAACAAAAATATTTAGAATATACCCATACATTTATGGAAAGACAGCTATGAATTCAGGCCATTGAATGTATTGGATCAAAACCATCCACATAATAGCATTGCATTTGGGCTGCTTTATGGCAACATAAAACAAAACAATTCATAACTTTTTGTAGTAAAGCAGTATTTATTAGCTGACTGAGCTCAAAACCAGGCAGAATGCGCACTGGTGAACAGTATAGATCAAGAAAGGAATTTAAGAATGTATGACTCAACTGGTAGCAAAGCTAAAATTAATTTCTTAAAAATATGTTTAGGGCCTGTGTAAGCTCCACACTACAATACAAGTAGAAGAATAGCTGGGCTTCTTAACTCGGGGTAGTAGTAGTAGTTATAAAATCAGAAGAGAGTGAAAATGCACACCAATGGGAAATTCAGCCTGCTTCGTGATGGGTGACCTACTGTTACTGTACCTAGAGGTCTATTTTGCTAGCTTGTGTTATTGGTGTTGCTTTGGTATTGTTGACTAGTAATTTTCAAAAAGAAATGTAAAATCACTTAAAGTGAATTATATTGCATTGTTCTAACATAGCTGACTAGCTAAAATAATTGATATGGAAATGAAGATGAGGAGACCAGGTATTGGTCTATTTCGTAATGAGATTTTCCTTGTATGTTCTACAAAAGAACTTGGTAAGGCATAAAAATCATGCTTGAATCTTAATTGAAGGAAAAAGATGAAAAATAGTGTATTAAGCTGTTGACTTCATCTACATTTTTACATTTCAGTATTTCTAATATTTGAACTAAAATCAGTGATAGAAATATTTTATGAAACAGTCAACTTAGCAGTGTATCAGAAATTGTCCTAAAACAGTTAACTTCTTAAAGTAAGCTCTAAGGTATTGTTTTGTAGTTGGTGGAGTAGATGTGGTAAAAACTGCAAATAAAAATAATAGTCTCCATAATTTAAAAAAAATCTATATTGTGCTATTTGATATAATTTTTTCATTTAAATATTTTCATGAATGTAAAAAAATAGGACATGCTGATATCACAGGTTACTAGTTGGAGTTTTTAAAAATAAATCTTCACCTTAAAAATGGCTTGGTTCTTGTTTAAGGTCTTGCATGTAAATGAGATGCATTCAAAAATCCCAGATCTTTTCTGTTCAGACTCTGCTGACAACCACTAAAAAGTATTTCTGCTACCAAATAGTATTGATATAAGGCGACCAGGGAATTCAACAGTAAAAGTTAAATGTGTCCTAGGACTTTGAGTAATATGAAGTGCTCAACTGAGAGCAGATATTATGCAAAACATCAAGAGTCGGCTGCTATAAAACAAAATGAGCGAGGCACACAGCACTTTACACAAATGGATGGATTATGATGTGGTAATCACCTTCAAAGGTGATAAATTGGACTTGAATTATTGAAGGCCAAGCCCTGGCGTCCTTACTCAGGCAAAACTCTCTTTGAAATTAATTGGAATTTTAGCCTGCGTGAGCACTGTAGGATTTGGGCCAGGAGATATTAAGGAGAGATTTCCCCCCTTCCCTCCTCCCCACCAGCATCTCTCCTAATGAGATTTAGTTACTTGGTTTTGCCCATATCACATATTTAAAATCATTTTAAGGGTATATTTTATTTTATGTAGACATTAATACAATACTCCCTTCTTCTAATACATTCTTGACTACTAGGAAATGTTCTCTAGAAAGTTACAACAACACAAAATGCAGTGAAAGGAAGGGTTTTTTTCATCCAGATTTTTTTTAAGAAAGTGTCAATGAAGTGTTCCTCACAAATGGAATAACACTGCTGTAATCAGCCTTCATTCCATGTGACACTCACTCTGGTGACATAATAAAGCGCTGCGGGGTCTACCAGGCTACACAGCAAGGCTCAAGGTCTCCTGTGCACACCCCTGCTTAAGGGGTGGATAGGCCTGTGATTGTAATACCTTCCATCCAGAAAATGGAAATGTGTTCTAATTAAACATTTTTCCTCCAAACTGCATCGCACGCTGTCAGCTTGACACAGGAGCAGGTAATCAAACTGTTGGTTATAGCAGAGCTATAACAATGCATGGCCATGTCACTATTCCTACTGGTACAGTGTGTGAAAACGGCAAAAAAATTTTTTTTTTTTTATTCGGAACATGAATGTAGGTTTCAGTTTCTTGAGCACTATCGGTACAAAAAACCCCTGTATTCTCTACGTGTTGATAGAGTAGGCATACAAACGGCATTTGATTTGTGGAAAGATATGTATTAATTCTTTTTTGTGCGTACACAGCTAGACACACTGGCAATTACAGTAAGAGGTAGAAAACACAGTGGCCAGCATATTATATACGCATAGATAGGTAGAAAGTGGTAAATCAGTAGATTTAAAACAGGAGTAATTTTTAAACTGTGTGTGCACTCCTGCACGTGCCCCCCCCCTCCCAACCGCCCTCCCAGTACTTACCAGCACAGACTCTCATACAAGTGTAAACCCCTTTACACATGCTGGTTAACTCAGAGCCTGATTCAAAGCCTGTTGACATTGACCATCCCCCTTCTGTTGAATTTAACACTTTGGGTTAATCCCTTTGTGCACAAACATTCACTAAATAATGACATATACACTTTTTACAGGTTCGCTTTTCTAAATCTGGTCTAGATCAAGAGCTGTAAAGTAATCAATTCATGACTTTTAAAAGAAGGATGCACTTAAAAATTCAGAATCAATCTTCCCCTTTGTTACATCAACTGAAAAGCTCCAGGTAACTTCAGTGATGTCAGGATCCTGCTAATGCATGTAATCTAATCGGTAAAATGGCACAAATGTCTAATTACATGCCCAATCTTTTGACACCCTGACTCATGAGACAGTACATGTAAATAAAAATTGCAGAATCAGGCCCTTTCAAGTGCTCTGATATTTTAGGGCCATTGTTAAATGCATGCACTTGTCATTTTGAGTAGCTCTTTATTAAAAAAACACAGCTATTTTCTGAAGGTCAGTACTACCAATTATTTACTAATACATTGTTGCCTCATCCATAAATGTGTTGCATCTTAACTTGAAAAACAAAAGAGTCTAATGGGAAGCTCACTGAAGTCAATGGGAGTATTTCTCATTAAGCCTCTATGTGTAGTAGTTTGAAATTATGATGCAGCTGTAAGCATGACTTTCTGCCCTCTGCATGTTTTCAAGAGCCTGAAATTATTCAGGAATGTCATTTCCAAATACATCTTAAAATAGATTGTGCATGTCAGTTATAGTTCAAAAGCCGATAAAGGAAGATCCAAGGAGCTTTGTGTCCCTGTTGTAATAAATGAGGGGCGGGGGGGCGGGTGGGAAGGGAAGAGCCACTGGGTTTGTACTCGGAACAAAACTAAAGCTATGGCTTCATGCATAAGAATTCTCTCTTTAAATTAAAGTATTCTTGGAAGGGTCCTAATTATTTATGATACCCATGTGGTATTTCTTTTCTCCGCTATAGGACCAATGTTACGTCAAATCTCATGTCCTGTTATCTTGTCAGGAAAAACATTCAGCTCCTGCCTGATCTTTG